GCCCTAAGGCTTAAGCATCTTCAGCCCTCAAAAGCTTGTCTTCTTATATGACACATGGCCTCGTGCAAGGAACATAGCTCCAGCAGGCTGAAGCAAACCCAGAGAAGTACCTTTTGATTTAATTTTTCATTCCTTGATGCCTTCTGGGTCTAGAGTAGCACCAAAGACATAGTAAAGAGGGCTAGGTACTCCATGGCTAGGTGCCCAGCAGGTTGGGGGCTTCCAGTGCTGCAGCCCATCCAAAAAGCCTCCCTAAGAAAGATTAATAGCAGTTTTGTTTGGTTGTTTTGGTTTTGGTTTTTTTTTTCCAGAAGGAAAAGGACTTCTCAAAAAACCAAGACACCTGCAACAACCTAGCCCCCAGCCTCCACATCTCCCTTAAACACTGAGGCAACAACGAACAAAGGAACCCTTTCACCAGAACATTTGCTAAATATTTAAGGCTGATTTTACCAAGTTTATGAGAAACAGCTCTACCCTACTTGCTTGAATGGGATTTCATAACCCCATAATTCTTTGAGAACCTTCCAAGAAGTACATAGGCAACTAATTTTTAAAATATATATATTTATACATCTATAAAACATAAACAAGTAACATCGCTAATGGTAGATATAAAAAAAGTTATATATATACTAATTTATTATAAGTAATTATTTTTTAAAATGACACCCACAAAAGCATCAGCTTCTGCTCTGAGAGTAACTCTCACAGCACCTTTTTACAACGCAACATCCCAGCTAATCTGGATGCACGAAACTATTGGACAAGAGTTTTAATCCAGCAACCACTCCTCCTGTGCCAAGCTTGCCCAGCCTTCCCTGCCAAGTGCTATATACATGGACAAAACCCCAAACGAACCAGCAAGTGGCTTTTCAGGGTAAACAACAGGCTTGCAAACATGCTGACGAGCAAGTGAAGATCTACTGACGCAGCTGGAGCGCACAGATTTTAAGGGCTTTCCCCAGAAATCAGCTTACTATGCAAATAGTATTGAATTAAAATGAAAGTCTAACTGCATCACAGGTAGTTTACTACTCAGGGCTGCAGTAAACCATCTATGCCACTTATGTTGAAACTGAGTAACTGAGTTATTGTAACCCACAGCAAACCTTGCTACAAAAATACCCCAAAAGTTTGAGGTTGCTTTTTTTTGGTTTTGTTTTTTGTTTTTCTAAAAGACAGCCACAACACCACTAGGACGCACACTAATGACAAAACTTTTAATGAGCAACCATTTAATGAAATCTCTTAAAAAACAAAACAAAACACAGTGAACCTGTCTCAATGGAGAATCAAGTTACCTCAGGATCAGTCTCATCACAGCGTTGTCAGCTGCTCTGTCACTGATTGCAAATTACAGGTTTGGGGATTACTAAAAAAAAAAATCTTAAAATTCTTCAAATTTGTTTAATGAATCAATTTTGCAATAAATCCTTATAGCTGCACACAACGGTATGTCTTAGTTGTAAGGAACAGCAAAACAAACAAATCTGTTCAGTAACATAATGCATTTTAATAATTTGCACTGCACCTCATCAAGTCAGCATGCAGTGCAGGCAAGACTTGCACACTCAAGTCCCACTACTTTCATGCAAGGGTACAAAATATTAACCGATTTCAAGGAAAACTAATTAGCTTTATCATTTACTGTAATGAGAAGGGAAGTTGTTATTGCATGACAGATGGTATTTGTTTTGTATCACATGCAAGATAAGTGAAAAGCGCATAAAAGCTCAACCAGCCAAACAGGTAGTTGCATGAGATCTGCATCCTGAATTGATTTCCCCCTGCTTCCCCTACCCTGAAAAAAAAGCCACAAATTTTACCCTATTTTTTGTCTAACATACACTGACCACAAACACCATTACTGTTTTCCTACGTTAGCTAACAAATGGAGAAATTTAGGAAAATAAGAAATAAAACTAACAAGAACAGCAACTGCATACTAGCTTCACAACTTTTATTGCCATTCTTATTTTGTAAAATGAAACTAGAGATTCGATACCGCTCGCCAAAAACTGCAGAGGAATGCAATGCAGAGATCTCTTCGATTCACAAGACGACGCTACTGCCACATGACACTCGTCCCCATTCAGTGAGTTTTTGCTACCCGTGCCATAGCCTGCCGGGATACCCACGATGCCACCACCCACAGTGGCCAGAAGAGGTATCTCATTACTTCCATATAACATCATGTTTTGCAGGTTTAAGCACTACCTGTCCTAATGCAGCCGTACTACAGAACAAGGGGTACTTCGGCTCCAGAATCAGTGATACCCAATGACATAAGAATAATTACTTATGCACACCCATATGGACATACCATTTCTCAAACACTTTAAGTTTACAAAGAAAAAAAATAATGCAGAAACTGCTCGCCCTAAGCCATCTGCATTTCCTCCCCCTTCCTCCATTTTGATGAGTGCAGAATATAACTATATTTATCCGCCTGTAAACATCCTCCATGACATGCATGATACAACTACAAAGGGTAGACCATATTTTGCAAATACAAAAACCACTTCTGTGACTCAATTCCAGCTGAATGTGTATCAGAGAAGGGCAGGAGGGAGTAAGCAGGATAATTGTGGTCTAAATCTAAAGGGTTTTTATCTTTTGCCAGGTAAACGCATTAAAAAAAAAGGAAAATAAAAGAAGACATTCTTAACTACATCAAAATAACCAGTATGCATGTTGATTCTGCCGTCCACCTCTCTTTAACCCTGCTACCCCAAGCAGTGTCCATGGAGAGGGACATCAAAGGAAGCAGCTTCTCAGGCAACCTCCGTTTCCCTCTTGGGATTTAAGAGAGGGTGCACGTTAAACCATTACTTCTGAAAAAAACTGGTATGCAAGCATAAATGAAAGCCCTTGTTTCACAGAAGTCATACATTCTCACCGATAAATTACATGCTGATTTAGAAAAGACTCAGAAGCTCCGTGGGGGGAAATGGGGGGAAGCGGAGATTAAAAAGAAAAAAAGTAAAAAATAAGAAGTTATACACAGCAAGAGCACACACACATACCTGCTGGGGGATGCCATTTCCTCTACATTTTACACCCCGACTGCTCTGGTTTACCATCATTGCCACTTGCAGCCACCTGGTTGCTCTGGCTGCCCCGTGTCCCAGCTGGCCGAGCCAGCGAGCGGCTTCCCCCCATGCGTGATTCAGTCTCCTTGAGGGATGTGCTGCATTGTACCGGGTGAGTCATCCCAGAGGTATTCTGCATATTACAGCCCCACTCATTCCCAACATCCTCCCGGCTCAGCTCGGAGAGCACCAGTGCACGCACTGGCCAAAGATCCTTGCTTCCCCACCCCGGTTACGGGCTGGAAAAAAAAATAAAATCATTACGATACCACTGCCATAAACCAATAACGGGGGCGTTTGGCAGCAGCTGAGGGAGTAAACTCACTGCTGAGAGGTTGCACCAGCCCAGCAGGCACGTCACCCGCTCGCCCAGGACTGCAAACAGGTCCAAAGTTGAAAGCGGGCGTCATCTCCTGTAACCCCGGCTGCACTTTATTCCCCAAAAGCTGCTAACGCAGCGCTGGGACCAAGAGTCCAAACAACAGGCTTGGGGGAAGTGCTCAGCCTTCTGACATGCTTGTCTCCATTGCAGCTTTCAACAGGATTTTAAACACTTCCAGCTTGCAACAAATTGTTATTTATAAATATCAGCCCTAGGTCCTTCTATACCGTTTCTTTGTAGGCAACCCACACAACCGCAACACCAATGCAGCAACACCCTTACACACGGGCTTCATTTCAGGCAGGTGGTCCCAAGTGTTCCCTTTGCTGCTCAAAAACTTTCATTTAACCACCTTAACTCTTTGCTCTGCCAGCGTCACCTCCTTCCCCCAAGTTACATGATCATCCTTAAATGCCCTCTCATGTTTTAAAAGCAGCGATGTTGCTCAAGAACTGCCTCGGCACCAATGGCAAGAATAAAAATTGTGACATTTGGGCTCTGAAAGCAGCTTCTAAAAATAATTGCCCAATTTCTGAACTAATACACACTGATGACTGGGCAGGAGTGGGGGGGAAGTAAGCTAGTTTAAATGTTTCCAGGCTCAGCTGCTTCTGCCTTTCTTAAACCCAAACCATTTTAACTTCCACTTGGAGCAAAAAATCCTTTTCCAGGAGGGAAAACAGCAGCTGAGATAATGGTGCCTGAAAACATCCTTTATGAAAGCTGCACCCCCATTGTACAGATCTCATAACCTAAAGCCACTCATGCTCTTGCAAACTCCAACCTGGGACCATGGAACACCAAGCCTGAACCACCAGGCTGCAGAAAGGATGCTGAGGACATCCCAAGTCACCCGAACAGAAGTACTTGTCGGCTGCTGCTCCAGCATCCAGCAAGCACACGTGTGGGTGCAGCTGTAGGCACCTATTTGCAGCTTGGCTGGATTTTGTCACAACAACGGAATTAAGATACAGTCCGAAGCCACACTGAAGGTAACAGGCAGTATTTGTTACAGTGGGATCAAGTGACAGCTGCATTTACCCTATTTCAATATAAAAGATTAAAAGGTCCTTAATTTACTGGGGAAAGCATGCTGTGTTTTGGTAGAACTGCATTTGCAACCACTGGGTGACTCATTAGCCAGTCACAGTATCTGCTATCCAAGTAATTAAAAAAAGGTATTAAAAAAAAAAATTAAAATTAACTGCACACCCCAGTCCACACCTGTCCTACCCTGATGAGCCAGGATTTTCTGCCTTGCTTTCCTCTTCCAAGCTCTGCAGCAGCACTGCTTTTAACCTCAAATGTTTAACACAGCTCCAGCCAGCTCTGTCCTCAGCTGTCTCCAGCAAGAAGTCAGCACGTAAGTCCAAAGCAGCATCAGCCAGAAAAATTAAAAGAAAAATGCCTGGCCTTTTCTGCTGCAAGTCCAGTTTCCAAAGTCTTTCTCCCAAGGGATGGAGGAACATTAAATTAGCCTCCCAGTGTAAGAGAGAACTAACTTTGTATAAGTTGTGTTGTAATCATATTTTTGAAAGAACAGCCTGAGTGGTTACATCTCCCCAAAGCCTCTCTGGTCCTCTTAGAAACTCAAAAAACAGGACACAGTGAGATTCAGGACTGAGGCCCAACAGAAAGCAGCTCATTGAAGAGTGGCATTAACAAACAGGATGCTGGCATTACACAACAAAACACAGGTTTACAGGGAAAAGCCATCACACTGTGAAGCTAATACAACTTTGCAGCTGTTGCAGGGTAGCTCTCAGCTCACCTGGCTGGGTTGGGTACCTCTGCACAGTCGCCCATTTGCTGCCGTGCCAGTATCAGGCAGGGAGAAACACTGTGCTTGAAAATGCAAGACGCTGAAAAGCTCTCATGTTACAGTGCTCAAGCCATATGAATGTAAATAAAGCCCTGGCCTTCTGTCTATACAGAGGAGTTGCTTCATCAGTCAAGAACAACTACCACCTAATTCAGCCGGCTTCAAGCCCTGTTCCCAAGGGTTTTCTCCAAAGGGAAGCGGATATTAAGTCACCAGATAGTTGTGAGCATCAACTGAATCACTGGTTGGGTTCTTGTTTTTGCAAATGTTCTTTGAACTTAAGGCTAAGCTAACAAACCTCAGCTCCAGGGTTGGCAATGCTGCTGCACTTATTATTTTTCCTCTTAAGTACTGCCCTGTCCAGTACACCTTAGCATATCCAACCCAACTAGCTTGGCCCTACAGTGAAATATCCTCCAAAAATTCTGTGCGTGTCCTAGTTTGGACTGGTGAGCAGCTGCTCTAATACAGGAACATCTTCCCTAGTTTCCAGCAGGATGCACACTGCCACAGGGTTTTGCTATTAGAAATCTAAAGTAAACATTGCAACTGGAGAGCCAACAAGGCAGTGGGTTTGCTTTCCGCTGCCTGCCAGCCAACTACAAGCACAGTTCAAAGAGCTGAGACTGTGGTCAGAACAAGAGGAGCCCATTTTCACTGTAGCTGCTGGAGCATTTGTAATTAAGATAATGAAATTCAGTCACCTCGTTAATGCCAGTCGTATTAATGGGCTGAACGGCTGCAGCACAACATTAACACAGTGCACAGGACCAAGCCCTGACAGCTTGTGAAGCAAGCAAAAAGATGTTTCAGCACCTAATTTTGGTGCAGCATAGGCTTCTGAGTATCTACAGTCCCAGGTCCGCCCAGGACACCCTGAAACTTGTAATGTCTCATCTAGGAACACCAGACAACCTCCCTGGCACAGCATTTAAGACTTGATATAGCAGTAGTGCCTAGACATCACTTACTGTGCCTTGTAAAGGGTAAAGAAGGTGGCTTTTCTCTTTCTGTTTTAATTTTAAAAAACAACAAACCCCCAAAAAAGACTATACAGACATGGTCAATGTAGTCTTTTGTCCAGCACTTCAGAAACACCCATTTCATTCATGTTGTCCTGGTTCCCCACAGTTTTCTTGAACACAGAATTCACCCAAATCACACTGTAGGGAAGAGCTGGAATTACAGCAGAAATAGGAAAAATGGCAGAACCGCTCAAACTTAGGAATGACACTGTAGGGAAGAGCTGGAATTACAGCAAATAGGAAATATGAAAAATGGCAGAACCGCTCAAACTTAGGAATAACTTAAAACTTTTTTGTGATGTTCTTGGGGCTGCTAAACATTCAGAAGCAGTGAAATGTTCCCCCCTACCTACTGTTACCATGCTTTCCCAATTTTCCATGAAACTGGTGTAAGGCTCTCCCATGCTGCACACCTCTGCCAGCACAAAGGCAAGGTATTATTAGAAGTCCAGTGGAATAGCACTTCAGCAGTGGAAGAGTCTGCTGGAGGACAGGTGGTCCATAAAAGCCCACGTGGGATCAGTTCTGGTCACGGCACAGCTCTATTCTCAAAACAGACTTCACCCAGATATTAAGCATCACTGATCACGATACTTTCCTAACACCAATGCACCCCAAGTAGTCCAGTAAAACTAAAGGAAGGAGAAAGCTTCATTATTTAATCTCTTGTAGACATCACCTGATCCAAAACAGAGGATCCATCCCTTTTTACTTTTGCAGTTGACTCCAGCAAGCTGCAAGCCACCAGCAGTGGGAGCATTTTGCCATGAGCACTCAGGAGCAACTGCTTTGCAGCAACTCAAGACCCAGGCTGGGAGGTCATTGTCCCAGGTGGACCAGTGCAGGCATCAGATCATTATATACAGTACAAACCCAGGTCCTAGTGAAGGCAAAACCTGTTTATATATTTATTATTGAGGTGCCAAATGTACATGGTAAGTTGGAGGCAGCATTTCTTTGCCATTTCAAACTGTGCAAACCAAGGCAACTCTTCATAAATTGGTTTTAAAAATTCATCTCCACGTGACTCACAGCTTGCAACAATCATTTTTCTTTTCTGAGTGTTTTAAAGCTTAGGCATTTGACAGACACGTCATCGATGAATGGACCTTTGTAAATAGAGATGACAGTACAAATGGACCCCAGCATAGACGGCTATTTCCATCCAGGATGCAGAAGGGTTTTGGGTGGAGGCCCTGTGGATTTAATTTTCCTGCAAACAGATCAAAGGAAAGCCACTGAGAGCATCTTACTCGACTCCAAATAAACATCCATGACCAGAAGAGAGGTTACACAAATGACATGCACCGAGCTCCTCTGTGCCAGAAAAACCCCATGTGCATTTCTTCTAATTAAACCCTTCCTCCATAGCTAATTGATACCTGGACAAACAGTTGTAATATACTCCAGGAAACCTAACCCTGTACTTTGCATTCATGTAACACAGACACAATCATCACAGGGCAGGCTGTGAAATTTTATTTTCTTCATAAAAACTGTGAGGGGGAAAAAAAAAAAAAAAAAAGAGAGCTAGTAAAACCTCAAGACCTTCCTCCCTCCCTTTTCACACTTAAATTCTTAGTTCCAAGGACAGCTGCTTTTGATGTCCTGCCTGTCCATGGTTTGCATCTGAATTTTTGTTTTTTCTTGCACTGGTATCAATATCTCCTAGACTGGTCAGCGGGCAGAGTTCAACCACCTGAAGAGCTCCTTGCCTCAACA